CTCAGAATACAGGAAAGCAATTGACAGCATTACTATTTTCCTGTGTTGTGAATATTATCAGTGTGGTACAATTATTTTACCTGGCACAATGGTTTACACAGCTCTCTCAATGTCCAGCTTGGGGAAAGGCCATGCAAGAAATATAACAAAGGTACACACTAGATCATTTTTTTCTCTGTACTTTTTCACAGTTTCTGCTATGTACTATGTATTATGTTGGATACTTTAGTGGCTTTTACAATAAATTTAATCTTTGGTGCAACTCTGTTAGGTAGGTTTTATTTCTGATTTTATTAGAAGAAAGGCTTAAAGAAGTTAATTTAGTTTTTTTTTTTTCCCCCCAAACTGGAATGTAAGGCCTGGCCCTTTCGATGGCTCCCTATTGCAAATGCAGGTTGGCGGGAACAGTTGTGTTCAGATGAAGAGTTGAAAATATTGTGCAAGACATGTGTCCCAGACAGTCCTGTACTATGGTGAATGGAGGAGAGAGTGTGGGTGGTGGCAGCTGGGGGCGGGGGTTGAGGAGATCATGCTGCTTTGTGGGCAGCACCTGGGGCTGAAGGGCTTTTGGTACATGAGATTTTTCTTTGCAGAACTCATCCAGCAGGTACAGTCAAGCCTCACTTGAACCTGCAAAGACAAAAGTGAGCCGTATCCCAAGTCTGGGGCCCAGCTGAACTGCAAGCTGATCTAGGTACCAGCTCTGACCCTTACCTCAAAGGCTGCTGTTTATTTAGGGGATTTCCTGGGTTCAAGGGCCCCAAGCATCTCAGCTACCAAGTGGGCTGGAAACATAAGCATCGTCATGACGGTGGAGGTATTTTTCACAGCCATCTATGTCACAGTTTCCAAGTACTAGATCAAAGAGTCTGAGGGCCAAAGAACTCAGGTGGAGACATTCCCCAAGGCACCTGTGGCACACTGAGGGTCACCTTTCCAGTTTTATATTTTCATACTTTTGAACCTACACTGTGACATTTCAAGTGAACAGGGGCAAGAGTCTCAAGTCCCCATGTGTGTCATGTAAACATGGAGAAAAATAGTGTCTTGAACATCTTAAACCAGGTACAGCATCAGGGAACCTGGGCACTTTTCTTGAGGGCTCATGGGGAAAAAAAGTTGACTCCACAATTCAAAAAAGAAATTACAAGGTCAAAGCTGATAAATGTTTAATTAAATGCTTCCCCAATATAACATCATACCATTGTATTAATGTATCAGCTTGAACTCATATCAGTGTTATCATAGGCAAGCTGAGTTTGTGGTTCTGATATTTTCAAGTTTCAGTTAACACAGTACTGTGTAAAACTGAGAACAGCCTTATGTAATATTTACTCTGAGATATGGGTGCATTTTGAAATATATAACACAATGGCGAAGCATGGGAATACAGAGTGTGAGGTATTCAAAAGAAGAGTGATGCTGCTCAGAACTCAAATAAAAACCATGCAGCTGGGCATGGTAGCATGATTTGTAATCCCAGCAGCTTGGGAGCCTGAGGCAGGAGGATCTCAAGGTCAAGGTAAATACCCCTGGGTTTAACGCCCCCCCCCCCCCCAACTACTGCAAAATAAATAAATAAATAAATTAATAATAATGATGATGATGATGTAGTGATCACAAGATCTTCATGCTGGTGGTGAAGATAGCCTTTCAAGTATATGAGAGATAGAAAGTCTGATGGTCCATTTTCAAAATATAGTATTGAGCCTGAATTGGATCCGACTGTAGCCATTTTAATTATAGTCCTTTCCTTTTGCCCACCTCAATTTTAAAATTAGTCAATCACGTTAACTGTACCCCTGAATCCTCCAATCAGGGAGAAGGGCATTGCTGTGTTAGGTATAAAAACAGGGGTATGCTTGCTAGCCAGGTTGCAATAACACACCTTTCTGGAAGAAGTAAAGGTTTGCCTGGCCCAGCTACTTTCCAGCCTGTGTTTGATTTCTTGCAGCACCTCGGTATTCCTCACAAGTAACAGGTAGAAAATAGCTCCAACCCAGTAACTCCATTAATTTTTGCATGTATAAGCACCTAATACTTAGGGAATACAGGATGACATTTTGTTAGATTAGAACCCAAGAAAGATGGAGCTCATAGCACCAAAAAATATTCTTTCTCATTCAACAATTTCTCTCTTCCCAGCATCTCCTAGCTCTAAGTCAACTCCTCTGGGCATCTGTCTTCTGGACATTCTCATTTGTAAAATGGAGATGGTAATACCCATCTGCTATGCATTAAATAAGAAAACGGGAGTAAAATGCACAGCATTTGGCAGGCAAGTTCTAAGAACAGTGTTCATGCTCATTCAACCCAGCCCCCCCCCCCATAAAAAGAATATGATATAAATTTTGATTATAAAAGGATGAGGCTCAATTCATACATTTATCCAAGAAAACCTGCTTCCTGATTTTAGAGTCTACTCTTCCCCAGATGGAAAGCAGACAATGGAAGTGCATACAGCTATTTAAATGCTAGCCCTAGGCATTTTCTTGCATGTTTCTGGAAAACCATACCAAATGAGCCCCAGGTATTGTAAAGGAGCCCTTAGGAGCACAGAAGTTAATGGACTGGAACAGGGTAATGAATGTTAGCAGAAATCCACCAGGCCTGGGCTCCTCCTGTTTATTCCATTGGAGTCTCACCCCAGTTAATGGATCCAAATGATTTCAGATGTCTTTAAACAGGAAAGTCACTATTTGACACTATGTAGCTCCTGACCTTTTATAAAAGCTTCACAAGTAGGTCATTTACTCCTTAATATGAGACATACAGGCTAAGGGTATTCTTAACGCTTCTGGTCACTCTGAGACTTCCTCCCTTCCATCCACTCAGTGTTTTACCAACAACAGAGCATACTGGGATGCCTGAGACCCTAACCATGCCTCCGGGAGCTTCCTTTCACATAGGAAATCATTTTTGATTTGGACCCCCTGAGATACAGAGTGACACAGTGTATGGGGATATCAGGGATATCCAATATTTGGGTACAAACATCATTTCAAATCCTGGCTTTGCTAATTTCTACTTGTGAGACTTTGGGTAAATTCTTATATCACTTTGAACCTGTTTCCTCATTTGTAATATGGGAATAAAAGTAGTTTCTAGTTTCTCTCTCTCTCTCTTTTTTTTTTTTTTTACTGGAGATTGAATTCATGGGCATTCAACCTCTAAGCCACATCCTCAGCCCTATTTTTTTTTTTCTTATTTTGTATTTTATTTAGAGACAGGGTCTCACTGGGTTGCTTAGTGCCTTGCCATTGCTGAGGCTGGCTTTGAACTTGCGATCCTCCTGTCTCAGCCCTGAATTGCTGGGATTACAGGCTTGAGCCACTGCACCCTGCTGTATCTACTTTTTTTTTTTTTTTTTGGTTTGTTGGGAGGATTAAATAAAAATAAATTTGATTTACAATGCCTTGCATATAATAAATATTTGCTTTTTAAAAAAATCATCTGTGGCTGGCTATGGTGGTGCATGCCTATAATCCCAGTGACTGGGAAGGCTGAGACAGGAGGAATGCAAGTTTGAGGCCGGCCTCAGCAACAGTGAGACCCTGTCTCAAAAATAAAAAGTAAAAGGGACTGGGGATATAGCTCAGTGATAAGGCACCCTTGATTCAATCCCAAGGATAAAAAAAAAAAGTTATCTATAATAGACATTTAAGCAAACCTTTTGGGAGCCCAGAAAGATGAGCAATGAACACCTTCTGGAGGTCAGTGAAGTGATCATCTCTGCCTAGAAGCAAAGTCCTTTGAAGTGCCTCTTTTCTGTCTATGGGCAAATTTCCTATCTGAGCAGCCATATTTATCTTGACTGGGAATTTGAATTTGCAGTTGTACATTCCAAGGTCCTTGTAAGGCCTTCCTAGCAGTGACAGGCACCTATGGAAGTACTTATTAATTGTGTGACCTTGGGCAAGTCCTCCTAACTTCACCAAAGATAAAATTCTCTATCAGTAAAACAGGGATCACAAACCTGGGTACTTTGGGGAATGTGATTGATCAAATTACGTCTATACAAATATGCTCTAATGAATCCCACTATTATGTGTAATTATAATGTACCAAATGCAAAATTAATAAAAGTTAAAGACGTAGAAACAATAATACGGGATTGCTGTGGGATCAGGAGAGATCATGCATGGGAAACATTCATCAGTGTCTGGTGACCAGTGGTGTGGTACTCACGAAAATTTAGCTATTGCTCTCATCATTAGTTGAAACACAAGAGCGCCTAGAATTTCCTCATTTCTGGGAAGGGTGCTTGGGAAGAGGTTTCTGCATCTCCTGTCTGCCAGGTCACTAACTGCTCACTCCCAGCAGTTTACTGTTCAAAGCATCCCTTTGTTCCAATGTTGAGCAAATCCAGATCTTGTGTATCCACAGCAACAAAAAGAGCTTTCCGCTTGATCCCCACCCTAAGGGCTCACACACACACACACACACACACACACACACACACTCACTCACTCTCTCTCTTTAAATGCCTGCACATATGTTGTTTATTTATTTTTGGTGAACGTTAAATTGAGGTTTTGGCTGAAACTCAGTCTGCGTGTACTTGAAGAGCCAACAGGCTCATTGGGCAGCCGATAAAGCTCTCGGGATTTCCCCCAGGGCTACGAAGAGCACAGACAGGAAGCTCTGGGACACAGCGCCTGACCAGAACTTCCTTGGGGGAGGCTGGAGGAGAGCATGCGCATCCTGCAGAGAACTGTCTAGAGCTTGCAGTCCCAAACAGCTGGGAGAGGGTCCTTGGTCAGCCCCCGGGTGGGTCTGGACTGGACTGGTGTCGGAGGGAACTGGAGGCTTCCCCCAGGGACATGCTGACACGGTCAGGCTGGAACCTTCCATTCTGGCCCAGCCTCTTCCTCCCTTGCTGCCACGAGGAGGGAATCGAGAAGGGACTTTCCAGAGAGCGTTAGCGTGCAGGGTGTGGAAATGGAATAAAAGCTTATGCAAATCGACCTTTGCGTGCTTTCCTCTACCCCAGTAAGCAAGCGCCTTTCTCCAGAAAGATGCTCTTCCTCCAAGACCCTTGACAGCTCTCTTCTCTCCCTGGATGGCAGCAGCAGGGCCGGTTGGAGTGGTAAACCCAGGCAGGAAGCCATGCCAAAGGGGTAGGCTGGATGGGCAGGAGGAAGTAGCAGATGAGGAGGGGGAGATGGGCCGCTGAATTAGCAAAGATAAAATGAAATTTTAGGAACTCACTGTGAGTAGGAGCTGGGAAAAAAATATAATCATTGCAACTGATTTATTATGTACTTATCTTCTGTCTGAGAGGCAGCAGGCTTTTGTACAGTGGATTATTGCAGAGTAAATGGCACATTAAAGATATAATCAAGATGTTTAAGGCATATTGAATGGCATTAGAGTTAAAGTACGTGAGACTTTTGTCATGGTCTATAAATATAAAAATGTCAGCCATTTGGAAATATTTCCAGTGCCTTAGTTAAGACGTGAGACCATTTCCAAAAGGAAAATAGTTTTCACCTTTTGTTATTTCGGGGTGGGGTAGCATGGCTTTGGGAAGTGGTTTAGAACCTGTACAGGTGATAAAATAGTATGCTTTAAGCCCTGGAGCCAGAGACCGTGGCATCTGTTTGGCAAGTTGTCAACTTTCTTGTAATGATAATAGCATGGAAATATTGCACAGTGAATATGGAGTACTTTGGGGGCTTGGGCTGGGAGCCGGAGGCTGCTGCTACTTGTTTATTACATCCCTGTTCTCAATCTCTTTCGGTCTCTGGCTATTAAGAGGTTTTCATTTTTTACATTTTAACCAGTGATCTTTCTTACATACTGAGTTTGACTTGTATTTTAATTGGCAAATGGTGTAGCTTTTCTTTCTTGAAGTCTTAATGGGCTTGATTATTACATGATCGTGTTTTCTTGTCATTTGAGATCTTCCCATATAGGGTCCCTTATTTAATTTGTCTGCCCATTTGGCCTTGGTTTTGCTGGTGACCCTTCATACTGCAGCGCTGGGATGCCCCCAAGTTGCCGACCATGAGTTTTTGAACAGAAAGAAGTTCTCTTTGTGTATTTAGGATCTCATTGCTGCCCGAATGCACAGTCCTTTGATAGCCACAGCACATGAAGGTCTTTCTGGTGGAGTTTAAAGAGAGAGAGGAGAAGGTGGTAGAGCCTTTGCTTCTGGGGTCTGCTCAGAGCCTTTGGATTGTTGGATTGTCAGCACATGGGGCAGAGACATCTGGTCTTCACTTGGGGCACCGCGAGGCCAGGTGTGGGAGGGGTGAGGAGCCCAGGGACCTGGCCAGGTGAATCATTTTCGATCCTCTTCTCCTCTCCGAATTCCTACATCTCCAAAGGCCCCGGGGGTGAGGCTACTATGCTCCATACACTTATTTTTTCTGTGTAGGCCTTTGGGCTAAATGTGTAGTAAATGTGTTTTCTCTGGCTGTCAGCACCATGTGGTCTTGGGTGTGGTCCCAGAAAGTGAGCTTTGGGGCTCCATTTGAATTGTAATGGTAATGGTGATTCCTCTCTCTGGTTGCTCTACAGTCTCGCAAAATTTCCTTATTTTATCTCGATTTTGGCTTAGGTTTTAATTACAATAGAAATTCTTTTTATTTTTTATACAAACATAAAATATTTTTATGCTTTACAACTTGCGAAGCATTTTCATGTGTCATTTCATGTCATTCTGCCTTGAAATTTGTGATGTTAGTAGAGATGCTAGAATTGGTACATTAGGGGAACCTATTAAATATTTGTTGGATGAAAGAATTTGCTGAGGAAATTGAGCCCCAGAGAGATCAAGGGATTTGCTAAAGTCCCCACATTTGACTTTCCCAGGCTGTTCGACCTACAATTTGCTATCCTTTCTCTAGAAAGGTTGTCTTTTTGTTCTTTTAAGAAAACATCACAGGAAAATGTAAATGGATGGATACACCATCAGAGGAGTGGCAGAAGGTCTTGTCTACCTCTCTGAACATCTTTGTTAGATGAATTATGTTGCTAAAAACCTCATATCCTTAAAATATGTAGATAAAGAGACATGTTATTGCTGAAAACGTCGACTGTCCTTTTACTGTCTCTTGGAGATTCGGGAGTAAGACACTGAAGACCTCAAGGGGAGCTTTGGGCGTGAAGCTGAACGTTTTCTCTAACTGTCTCTTGGGGTCCTGGACAGGATTATGCAATGCCACTATTTGAGGTAGGCCTGGGTGCACAGATCCGCTGCCTTCTGGCCTATTGTCTTAATTACCAGCTGCTTCCATACTGCTGGAGAAAATGTCACCCAGATTAGTGAGGACATTGAAATAACTAGAAAAGAGCCCATTGTTCTAGCAGAAGTAGGCTCTGGAGTTGTACTGTGTACCTGTAACATTCCATTCTCTTTGCTAGGGACTTCCTTCAAATCAGTGAAGAGAGAGAAGGAAGGAGAATTTCCCACCTAAATCTAAAGCTACTTAGAGAGGAATGCCAAAGGGTATTCCCCTAAGGGTTTTCCTTTTGACTTCTTTAACTGGAGATTCAAAGTTTTGGCCAGGAAGTTTTTCACAGAGGAAAGCTGCAAAAAGAATTCTGATGATTTCTTGTCTTTTTTTTTTTTTAATTTTTTTTTTAGTTTTACATGGACACAATATCTTTATTTTGTTTATTTATTTTTATGTGGTGCTAAGGATCGACGAACCCAGTGTGTCACATGTGTGATGCAAGTGCTCTGCCGCTGAGCCTCGACCCCATCCCAAGCCTCGACCCCAGACCCTGATGGTTTCTTTATTGAACTGATACTCTTTGTTTATTCAAAGCAATTGTGTTGCCAGACAGGTATTCTATTCCTTAATACTTCCTGCGTCTAACTGAGAAGCCTTCAAGTGATGGTTATAAAGACTTATTCTTGATTTAACTTCTGAAGCTTATAGTTTTTGTTATGATGTTGTTTATTTGCTTTTAACTCTTCCATCCATCCAAAGTGTATTGTTATCCAAGATGTGAGATCTGCTGTTAATTTGTCTTCTATAGATACCAGTTTTTCACTTATTTTTTTTTTAAAGTAGGTTTTAGTTTAGGATAGATTTAGATTTATAGGAAAGTTGCACAGATAGAATAATGAGCACGTGTACAACTCCATTTGCTGCTTTTTGATGATCTCTTCTGCTTCGAAAGGATCCTTCTACCTGGTCTTGCATTCAGCATGTGGTTATCTTTCTCGAATCTCACTTATTTTCTGTTGATCCACTTGCGATTTCTGCTCCAATGTCACATGGGATTTTATAACTTTTGAGAGGGAATCTGCAATCCCACGGGGGTCTAAGAGGTAAAATTCAGCCTTCAACTAGGTAAAGTACTATCAACCCTGTATATGGATTTCTGCTTCCCAGGAGACATTCTAGTAACTACCATGACCAACATCAGAAGGGTTTGATCATTGGTGACCTGCCTTTTACACAGCATACTCTTTTCTTTGACCAGGTTGTGGTCACACCGGCACAAACCAGGCTTTGGAGTAGGCTTGCTTTTCATTAGTACCATTAGCATTTGGGGAATGATAATTCTTTGCTGGGGGAGAGAGCTACCATTTGCATTGTTGGATGCTGAGCAGAATCCCTGGCCTCTATCCAGTAGTTGCCTCACACTCATGGTACCCCAACAATGCCCAACCAAATGGAGACAATGAAAGGTATTTTCAGACATTATGAATGTCCCCAGTTGGAAACCACAGCTCTGGAGTCAGCCTGTCTGGGCATTCCTCCTCACACCACTGTTCCATGAGTGTGTGATAGATGCGAATTAGTTGGTGCCCATGTCTTAGGATGGTCCTGAAGACCCAAAGAGCTAATGAGGTGCTCAAAACAGACCGTGGTAGGACAGACCAGAGTAAGGTAATGTAACCATTGTATTATTTTTAAAAATCCTTCATGTTTGGTCTCACTCCTAATAAACACACAGGCTTCCCATTTTTCTCCCACCTCCATGTCTTGCCCACCATGGAACAAATATGTTTAAATTGCAACGATATTCACCAAAAATTACATCTGTGTTAATGAAATGGAGCTCTATTTTCAGGGCTCCATAACAGCTAATTAATGGGCTCCTATGATAAACTCATCTGAGCTGCATGTGAATTTTATTTGCAGCTACAGAATGGCAATTTCAGTTAGTTAACAGGCCTTTAAGTGACAATTCAGCTCCTTGGAGCAGCCAAAAGACTGAGAAATGATTTTTTAAATGAGTCAGTAAGGACAGTGAGGAAGATAGAAATATGGGACAAGGAGAAGACCGAGGATTTACTTGATTCATTAACTTGATGGTGGGAAATACCTTGTTCATTTACCACTGAAACACACCTTCTTGCAATTCTGGGGTAGGGTGGGGAATGGATGCAAGGAAGACTCATTCTCCAGCAATTCATGTTACTTAGTCCCCAAATCTTGTGTATTTGTGTGTATGTGTGTGTGCATGTATGTTCTGTAGCTCTTTTAAACCCAGACCCTCTTGTGGGGCTGATCCTTTCTAGTGTGTGAGAAGATCTGGCTGAGGATGGCTGGTATGGGCTGTGTCTCTACCTTTGTCCTCAGGACTTGCTGCCATCTTCCAGTGGAACCAAGGCTTAGTTCGGAGAGGAGAGGGGACCCCTTGCCTGAGTGGCGGAGCTGTAGGACAGGTGAGGCTCATTGTTGACCACTCAGTCTGTTCACTTAGCCAGGGCAGCAAATGGATGGGAGCCTGGGTTCTGGAGTTGGAGTAGGGAGGCTGAACCTTTCTGGCCTCCCTCTTCCCATCTATAAAACAGAGTTGATGATATGACTACCTCACAGCTTTGTTTTGAAGGATTAGATAATTCACTTTTCCTAGGGGCTGGTGCCTAATTAGCACTTTATGCTTCTTAGCTATGATGATAACTGTGGTTATTTTTATTTATTTGAGTGTCTTCCCTGAGTCAGGAATTATGCTCGGGACAGGGGATGCATTTGGGTCAAATGTGACTTCTCGTGCCTCTAGAGAGTTCATAGCCTAAAGATTGGGATGGAAGAGCTCTTCCACAGAGGTAGGCAGAGGGAGGCTGTGGAGGCGGAGGGAGTGCAGAAGATTTTGGGTAGTGGCGTCCTTCACAGAAGTAACTTGATCCCGGAGACTGGTACCTTAATAA